AGGAGTAGCAGAAAGCCAGATGTGACGGCAATATTCTAAACATAGACGAATGGCAGACTTATATATTTATATCTGTCTTATATATTTATTGTATCTGTCTTTATGACAGATTATGTAGGTTTTTGTATGGTTTCTAAAAGTAACACCCGGGGGTGGACCCCTCCAGTCCGATTAGGTCAGGAGGTCTCCTTTCGGCCTAATCGACCATGGTAAGATTCGAACCTGTATCACATGGTTAGAATGCGAATACTTTAACCACTCGGCCACTGTTCTGCTTCATATTAAAGAAATATAGTAATTTAGTTGAAGTTCTAAATGATTTTCTTCTATCCATAAATATATAAACATACATCCTCGCATATATATATATATATATATATATATATATATATATATATATATATATATATATATATATATATATATATATATATATATATATATATATATATATATATATATATATATATATATATATATATATATATATATATATATATATATATATATATATCGGACGTCATGTTGTATTGATAAATTTAATTTATGAATATGTCCTGAAGATGGTTTATTAGACCAAACGTCCGACGTTGACATATTAACATTAAAACAGCATAATTGTATATATAAGTTTTTTTTGTTTGTTTTTTCCGTATATATTTTTCTTCATATATATATATATATATATATATATATATATATGCAGCAATTTTTCATTAATGCATGTTTCATTAAAGAATATAGTTTTGTCTATTTATTTTAAGTAAGTTCATTTCATATTGTCTGATAAGCTTAACATTATCATTGAAAGGCGAAACATGCATTAATATATATATATATCTTCAAACTTATACATATTAAAAGGATATATTTTTCTCAGGCTTTATTTCAGTAGACCGTTTTCGAACTCTCTTTAACCCTTTTCTTGTTTACATAATTCTGTGCCACATCACTTCAGATCATAGGCGATTATGGCTCTTCACAACTTCCTATATCTTGTGACAATTCCACCCTTTTCTAAGGCACCCGATCTCACATTCCACCATCCATCGACAAGCTCGTCAGGTAATGGCTCACTTCCCCTATCTCTTTTGGCCTCAATGTGTCGTGAGTGTTACATGTTCAAAGCTCTCGTTCTACATTATGGCGTAGCTTAGCTGTGGCAAAAGGCCGAACAAATAGAGCACCCAGTGAGGATCGAACTCATTTTTCCGTCGTAATTGATCTAACGAGACGATTACATCATCTCGAAGTGCCCAAAACGATTTTCTAAACGAAGCTTAGATGTGGCACAAGGCCAGACGAATGTAGCACCCAGTGACGATCAAACTCACTACACAGTCGTAATTGATCTAGCGAGACAAGCTTGTTAACCATTACACCAGTACAGTACCCCTTTCTTCCTCGTTATGTGTCCAACGAATTTCAACTGTGTTTCCCCGACGCTTTTATTAGCGTTCTTTTCTGTTGCCGTATTTTTTTTAGACTTCTTTTGATCTAGGTATACGATAAACTACAAGAGTTTACTGATAGGGAAATTGAAGGTTTTGAGGAACGTAGAACAACCTCTTAATCGCTCTTGTTCATCCTGACTCGGTGTGGTAGCACCTGTTAGTGTTCAAGCTATGGACAAGGAGTGAACCCCCAAGCAAAAATCAACAGTACATTTTTATAATAGAATGACTAACAATACATTTTATATCTAAATGACTATCAATGCAAAACTAAAAAAATATAAATAAATAAAAAGATTAATCACCGTACCTTGTTAGTCGTCTTTAATGAAGCTTGCATAAATGAGGGTTTGCTGCCCAAATACATTTTTATCGTTGCTGCACAGGATCAGTGCTTGTTAAATAGAAATTATCAAGCACACATAGTAAAATACAGTGCTAGCCCAAAATGCAGGTTCTGTGATAATTACCCAGAAGCAATCGATCATCTTGTATCAGGTTGCACGGTATTGGCACCCACTGAATAAAAAAAAAAAAAAACCGGCATGATAGTTGGCCAATATCTGCACTGGAAAATCTGCAACTTCTACGGGAAGTTAAATTGAAAGAAACTGGTATGAACACTACCGAGACCCGGTTACAGAGATAGGACCTGTTACAATTCTATGACACTACACAATACACACTGACAGAACAATCAAAGCCAACCATCCAGATATTGTTATTAAAGACCACAAACAAAAAAAGTGCCTCCTTATTGATATGGCAGTCCCTGCTGACTGCAATGTATATTTGAAGATATTCAAAAAGCTGTCAAAATACAAGGACCTTGAAATAGAAATCTCGAAAATGTGGCATATGGGAACATCAACAATCGCTGTTGTAGTTGGAGCCCTAGGATTGGTTGGAAAAGATTGCAGTAGACTAAATGAAGGGATTCCTGGAAGTTCATGCCGCAAGAAGATACAAAAAATTGTTCTGTCAAGTACAGCCCACACTTTACGAAGAGCTTTATCTATGTAATATATTTTTTTGTCAGTGGAAAGTGTCATGATGCCATTTCTAACCTTAGGTCCGTGGGCGGGACTCGGACAGAAATGTGTAAACGCCAGAAATCAAAGAAAATAAAAATAATAATTTTTTATCGTTGCTGCACAGGATCAGTGCTTGTTAAATAGAAATTATCAAGCACACATACTAAAATACAGTATTAGCCCAAAATGCAGGTTCTGTTATAATTACTCAGAAACAATCGATCATATTGTATTAAGTTGCACGGTATTGGCACCCACTGAATATAAAACCTGGCATGACAGAGTTGGCTAATATCTGCACTGGAAAATTAACATCTACGGGAAGTTAAACTGAAAGAAATTGGTATGAACACCACCCAGACCCGGTTACAGAGATAGGACCTGTTACAATTCTATGGGACTACACAATACACACTGACAGAACAATCAAAGACAACCGCCCAGATATTCTTATTAGAGATCGCACACAAAAAGGTGCCTCCTTATTGATATGGCAGTCCCTGCAGACTGCAATGTATCTTCGAAGATCTTCAAAAAGCTGTCAAAATACAAGGTCCTTGAAATCGAAATCTCAAAAATGTGGCACATGGGATCATCAAAAATCCCCGTTGTAGTTGGAGCCTTCAGATTGGTTGGAAAAATTCCAGTAGACTAATTGAAGGGATTCCTGGAAACCCATATCTTAAAGAAATACCAAAAAATGTTCTCACGGGTACAGCCCACACCTTACGAAGGGCTTTATCCATGTAAAATATGTTTTTTTTCTTCAGTGGAAAATGTCATGATGCCATTTCTAACCTTAGGTTCCTGGGCGGGACCCGGAAAGAAATGAGTTCACATCAGAAATCAAAGGAAATAAAATAATAATAAAATTGTCAAAATACAAGGGCCTTGAAATCTAAATCCCAAAAAGTGTCGCATGAAGACATTAACAATTCTAGTTGTAGTTGGAGCCCTCGAATTGTTTGGAAAAGATTCCAATAGACTCGTTGAAGGAATCCTTAGTAACCCATGCTTTTAAGAAATACAAAATATTGTACTCACATGTACAGCCCACACCTTACGAAGGGCTTTAGCTTTGTAAAATATGTGCGATTTTTTTAAAAAACTGCTCAGGTCATGATGCCATTTTTGACCTTAGGTTTCTGGTCAAGACCCGTAAAGAAATCTGTATACACCAGAAACCAAAGGAAATAAAACTAAAACAACAACAACAACAATACTACTACTACGACTACTACTACTACTATTAATAATAACAATAATGAATACAGTCCTGGGTATGATGATAAACTACATCAGGCAATAAGACCTCTGATCGGGAGACTGAAGGTTTTGAGCAGCGTGGAACGACCTCTTAATTGCTGTTGTTTCCAGGTCCACCCTGATCCAAGATAGTAGCATCTGTTGGGGTCCCATCTATGGGTAAATAGAAACTGTCAGATATTACCCCCCTCCCCAAAAAAAAACACTATGAAAGTATAAGAATACATTTTTATGTCAAATTACCGGCAATATATTTTTATATGAAAAATTAACAGCAATGAATTTTATTACAAACAATATATTTTATCTGTAGTTAAAGACATGCTCCAGCATTCAAAATATATTTAGCTGAAGACATAAAATTTGTGATCAAAATATTTAGATTTCAGAATTAATTAACCAATACAGGTTGATAGACCACAAAACGAAATCAACTAAACTACCAACACGAAAGAACACTTTCATGACATCAATCCATATAATATCCTACAATTTCTTAAAGAAATCAAACCGTATTATAGAATATAGCTTAAATAAATAAATATTAGGTTGGTGCAAAAATAATGACGTAAGAATGTCGTTTTTGACGTAGAAAAGTACGTCAAAAACGACATTATTACGTCATTATTTTTGCACCAACCTAATAAATAAATAAATAAATAAAAATAAATAAATAAAACACCGCCCCGAGAACTCATGACCGCATAAAAGCTGAGTATCATCTACCATGTATTCAGTTGTGAAAGCAGAATAAAATATATCATATCTTTAAATATTTTTTCCTTTAAAGCTCTCATGAAAATTAAATTCCGGTATTAAATGACCCATAAGGTGTTGATATGCCGTTAAACAAAGAAATGATCATGGAAATCAAGGGAAATACTTTAATGACCGTGCAATAATTTTCGAATAAAAATGGCAAATTTCGCAGGAACAGAATTCTGAAAACGAATAAGCATTTCTTTTATCTTTTCGCTCAAGTCGAATATTACGACATCAGTTTGACAAGAACGTTCACTAAGTAAAGTCGTCGGCTGTGCGCAGTTTTTGACTATTGTTCTATTTGTAACACAGGTTTGCGTTTATTTTAGATTAGATACAATGAAAGTATATCTTCAACTTGCTTCAAATTTCTTTGCTTGTCAAAAACGTTGATATTTGAGTGATGTGACCCGAGACAAGGTGATTGGCTTTAAAGAGGATATGAAAAGATGAATTAATACTTTTCTCTGGAGCATTGACGTAAATGTGGGGTGGGTGGTGGTTTTGCAACGACAATGTCCAGGACACGAACTATGGTTCCTCCTTCTTTGCTGTCTCATCAAATCCTCGATTGGCAGCAATAGCAAGGTTAGGAAATCCAAATTCACACTTAGATCTTTTTTGTGGGTTTATAATATTTTTTTTCTCTTTGTTCCTTCTTCTGATTTTGTTATTTTTTCTTTCATTTTTCTTCGAAAAAGTATATTCATCTCAGTTTTCTTTTTCTATTTTATTCCTTATTTATTCATTTACACTTCATTATTTTCTCTTTCGTTTTGTTCTTACTTTTTTCTTTCTTTCTATGTTTCTTTCTTTCTTTCTTTCTTTCTTTCTTTCTTTCTTTCTTTCTTTCTTTCTGTCTGTCTGTCTTTCATTCTCTCTTTTATCCTTTACTAGCAGTAGAGCCCGGGGTTGCCAGGGTATGTAACAGTAAGAGATAGATCAAGTATCGACCATTATAAAGACTGAAAAATAAAATTGACAAAGATTATTGTTTAAGGTTGACGGACACGCATGTCTTAATTAGATTTTTTTTTTCTTTTTTTGGTATTTTTTGTTACGAATTGGTCAAACTCAAACAAAAACATTGTTTTCAATCGTTATGAGTCTACCGAAGGTAATTTTACCAAGTCCTGTGAAGTTTTGTTGAAATCGGTTGAAAAATGTAGGAAATCCGATCCAATATATAAACGAACAGACACACACACACACAACCTGGGTTTTATAATAAGTAAGATTTCTTTCCACGCTTCGATTTCTTCTTTCTTTTTGCTTTCCTTTCTTTCATTTATTTTCGTTTCATTCAAATCATCTTTTGTCCTCCTCGTCCTTTTAATGGAACACTTTCTTTCTTTCTTTCTTTCTTTCTTTCTTTCTTTCTAAATTAGAATAATATTATTCTGTTCAAAACCACTTTTTGTGAAAAAACTACATACAGATTCGGTAGATTGCACATTTTATCGAACAGAAATAGGTTAATGAGTCTGCGCAGTAGACACAATATAGGTATTTCCGTTTCCTTTTAGAATCATGATGATCGGAAATTTTGATAAATATCTTCAATTACACCTTGAATAAGAATAGGAAACGCTAGCCGTAATGAAATTGGAGAGATACAATTTATAGGGTTTGATTAACAAACATGGGGTGCGTATTATGCGTGAATGGAAGCATTTTCCCACATTTTCAGCACAATTTTAGGTGTGCCTATTATGGATGAAAGCGTATTATACATAGGGAATTACGGTAACCAGTAAATAAAAAAATTGTCATTTCTTGCTTAGAAACAAACATTGAGCAGACGTTCAAGCAGAGAATATCAATAACTCATGTATCAGTCTGGTCGTTGAAAATAGCAAGCAATATCTTACAGCCAATAAGAGATTAAAAAAAAAAAAAATCAAGCTTAGTCTTGGACAGATTACAAATTTTGCTGGTAACGTCCGACAGGTTTGCCAACGACACAACCGACTCCAAGCCGAAGTCGTTATTGGAAGAGAGTTAACTAATGGATTTTCTGCGCATGCGTCCAAGCTACGAGGTCTCAGTAAAGAAGCCAATCGAAACTGTCAGATATTATTCCGCCTTTTTTGGGTTTTTTTTCTTTTGGTTTCTCCTTCTGGACCTTATCTCGTGTGCGTATTTTGGCGAACAGGCAGTACAAACTGATTATCCATTGTTTTTCTGTATTTTTACAATTCATTTCAGTCAGTTGTTCTCTTCAATATATATCCTATTATATTTATACTTGCTACTCTTTCCTTTTGATGTCTTCCATCCTTTTTTTTTATTTTTTTATTCTTCTTACGTTTCCTCTAACAATCCAAGTAATTTCTTGCAATTTTCTTTTTGCTAGTTTTTATCATTCAACTAATTTTGCTTTTCTCGTTCATTTCACTTCAGTTTTTGTGCCATTTCGGTGGCACGAACATTCATTTATTTTGCCTTCGTTTCTCTTATTTTTTTTTTCTTCATCGACCAATTCATTCATTCTTTAGTCCTGCCATTCGTTTCTTTTCTTTTCGATTTTTGCTTCTTACTTTTGTAATAATTTTGTTTCTTCAGTCCCCATTGTATTCTGACTTATCTACTCGCATACACTCCGATTATTTTCTCCTAGCTTGTTGTTGTTGTTGCTGTTGTTGTTGTTCTTCTTCTTCTTCTTTTTCTGTTTATTATTATTATTATTATTATTATTGTTGTTGTTGTTGTTTGCTGTTATACAATTGTAATCACTTTCTTTTTTCCTTCTTTTTCAGTTCTACATACTTTCTTCATTTTCTTTCTTCCTACTCTTCGCAAACATAGTTCTTTATTATTATTATTATTATTATTGTTGTTGTTGTTGTTGTTGTTCTTGTTGTACAATCGCTATGACTTCATTCACCTTCATTTTTCTTTAGTTTCAAACATCTTTTTTTTCTTTATTCTATCTTTTCTTAAATGCATTTCTTTGTTATTATTATTATTATTATTATTTGTTTTATACACATTTCCTACCGGGTCCCAACTAGAGACATAAGCTTAGAAATGGATTGATTGTTGATGTGTTTTATTGAACAATTGTCTTCCTCTTTTTCGTCTGCAAGCAGTTATTTACTATTATTATTATTATTATTATTATAGTTTTTTCATAATTATCATTTCATTCCCCCTACTCCTGCTCTTCTTCACTTCTACACAACACCTTTCTTCTCTCTCTTCTCAAATACATATTATTATTATTAATATTGTTGTTGTTAAACAGTTTTTACCCCTTTTTGTTTCTTTTTATTTCTCTCTCTCTTCTCAAATATCGTTCTTTATAATAATAATAATAATAATAATAATAATTATTATTTTTATTATCATTATCATTTTATTTCCTTTGATTTGCGGTGTGTACTCATTTTTTCCGTGTCCCGACCAGAGACCTAAGTTCAGAAATGGCATCATAACAATTTCCTGAGGAATTTAAAAAAGAAAATTTAAAAAAACACACACACACACACACACACACACACACACACACACACACACACACACACACACACACACACACACACGCACGCACACACACACACACACACATTTTATATGGATAATGTAATTCGTCAGGTGTGGTCTGTACTCATGAGAACTTCTTCTTCTTCTTATTATTATTGTTGTTGATTTCGTTTTTGAACATTTATCGCTTCATTCGACAACCCGAAATCATCTTCCTTTTACTTTTTCCTCGATTTATTTTATTATTTTTATTTTCTTTGATTTCTGGCGTTTACTCATTTCTTTCCAGGTCCCGCCCAGGGACCTAAGGTTAGAAATGGCGTCATGGCACTTTCCACTTTTAAATATTAATTAATACTACATGATAGAAATGAACCACGGAATTTTCGGACATGACTGTGAAGATAGAAAAAAACAGAGAAATGGTTAGCCACCGGAAGAAACGTTTGATTTTAACGTTGAAACAAAATTTTCTAATGTAACAGCGCATATGCATATATATATATATATATATATATATATATATATATATATATATATATATATATATATATATATATATATATATATATATATGTATGTATATATATGCGAGACTGCAGACGGAATGCCAGGTCAGGAGCAATGATATTGTTAATTATTCTTTGGATTTTATCAAGCTCTGCTTTTATGAAAATCTGTCAACATATTTCGAATGTCTGTCTATTTGTATCTGCTAAGGTAAGCTTTACCAGTTTGGAGTCAGGATACGCGACCTCATAAATGTATACACCATTTTCACTTGGTTTGTGAATTTTCTAATGTAACAGCGTGCATATATATATATATATATATATATATATATATATATATATATATATATATATATATATATATATATATATATAATGCGCAGGTATGCAGAAAATAGAAAAAGAACACGATGGGTGCATAATCCGGAGTTCCTTAGTATTTTTGTCTTTATTTTTAAGAAGACAGTGCTCCATACAGAAGTAGAGCTTATATTATAATAATATTTTTTGTTTAAATATACGATTCCTTCGCGATATAAGAGTTCTCATGTTTCAAAAACGAGAGCTTAAACCATCCAAATAATTATTAAAATTAAGTTGAATTGAGGTATTTAGTCCCGTTTCATCTTCAAGCGAAATTTTAGGAATTCGTTAGCGAAGGAATCATATTTTTAAAAAAATATTATAAATATATATATATATATATATATATATATATATATTGAACCAGCTTCTAATGCTCCAGTTGGAGGGGCTTAAGGATAGTAGTCGTGGCTCCTGGGGGTACAGTTCTATGGGTAAGGGAACCTCGGATGCATTCCATCATGTGGTGGAATTTGTAATCGAGCAGAGCTATATCGAGTCTAATTCATTATTTCTTCATCATCGAGGCCCGTTGGTATGACGTTTGCGTCATATCGCAACGGTCCGGGTTCAATCCTCTTTAGTGGATGCCTACGGCTGATGAGTGTCAAATATAGGACGAAACATCCAGTGCTTTCTGTATTATGTTGAGGTTTCTTCTAGACTCGGTGTATATATATATATATATATATATAGAGAGAGAGAGAGAGAGAGAAAAGCGACTGTTTGACCAACACAAGGAATGTTAAAAGATTCATGTTAAAATGATAAAAAAATGAAAACTACAGACAAAAGTTCATTTTCTCCATCAAGACATTCATTTCTCTAGTTCACTGGTACCAGCAAGTAGAAATATTAATTATTTATTTAAAAATTATAACATAAATATCTTATAAAATCACTATAAATTTATGTTATAATTTTTAAAAAATTTATGTTATAATTTTTTTTTTTAATGTAATTTATGTTATAAATTTATTTTATTTTTAAATAAATTTACATTATAAATAATTTTATTTTTTAAATAAATTTATGTTATAATTTTTATTATTTAAATAAATTTATGTTATAACTTTTAGATAAATAATTATATCTGCTCTACTCTGTATTGAGCACTCTTTTAAGAATAGTAATTCTTGGTTATTGGAATTCATTCCGTATACACCAATCATATACTTGTATAAATATTGGCTCCTGAAATATCAATTTCAGTTGAGCTCTCTGGGGACGCGGTGTGGGTTGGTAAACAGTGACTATTATAGCTATATAGCGAGACTCTTCGCAGATGCGAATTGAGTCACTGTCGGTCACTGGGCGTGTTTCTAAAAATAAATACGCTAAAAAATCCACTTTCATCCCTACCGTGCTTAATGGTTAGAATCTCCGACTGACACCAATTCAGTCGGGTTTCGATCCTAGCTAGAGGCAACCGGATGTCTAGCCACACTGATGATCTGTGAAACAGCGAAACAGCCTGTCTGTGAATGACGTTATATATATATATATATATATATATATATATATATATATATATATATTAGCCATATGCTCAGATAGATTTTCTCCTGAGAATACCTTTAAAACCACCCTAATTTCTACCCCTGAAAGGTCAAGTTATAAAGACGAATTTGACGAGGTTTTCACTTAAACCAGTGGTTTTCACTTACACCAGTGGTCTTCACTTAAACCAGTGGTTTTCCCTTAAACTAGTGGTTTTCACTTAGACCAGTGGTTTTCACTTAAACCAGTGGTTTTCCCTTAAACTAGTGGTTTTCACTTAGACCAGTGGTTTTCACTTAAACCAGTGGTTTTCACTTAGACCAGTGGTTTTCACTTAGACCAGTGGTTTTCACTTAAACCAGTGGTTTTCCCTTAAACTAGTGGTTTTCACTTAAACCAGTGGTCTTCCCTTAGACCAGTGGTCTTCACCAAAACTAGTGGTTTTCCCTTAAACTAGTGGTTTTCATTTACGCCAGTGGTTTTCACTTAAACCAGTGGTCTTCACTTAGACCAGTGGTTTTCACTTAAATCAGTGGTTTTCCCTTAAACTAGTAGTTTTCACTTAGATCAGTGGTTTTCACTTAAACCAGTGGTTTTCACTTAAACCAGTGGTTTTCCCTTAAACTAGGGGTTTTCACTTAAACCAGTGGTCTTCACTTAGACCAGTGGTCTTCACTTAAACTAGTGGTTTTCCCTTAAACTAGTGGTTTTCACTTAGACCAGTGGTTTTCATTTAAACCAGTAGTTTTCACTTAAACTAGTGGTTTTCACTTAGACCAGTGGTTTTCACTTAAACCAGTGGTTTTCACTTAGACCAGTGGTTTTCCCTTAAACTAGTGGTTTTCACTTAGACCCATGGTTTTCACTTAGATCAGTGGTTTTCAAACTTTATTTTACCTTTGGACAACTTTTTTTTGTGGACCTCAATAACCATTCGAAGAAAACCAAAAAAATATTTTATTTTTTACTAATATTAGGTTTTCACACATCAAGGCCATAGCAGAGTCATTTTTTTCACGGTGGTGGTGGGGGGCAAAAGAATTTAACAATTTAGTCTTAAGTTATCAAAGGCCGCCAACATGGTTAGTGGCAAGAACATTTAAAATTCCCACTACCTCCTTGCATTGATAGTTTTTTTCTATCTTGTATTTCTTTATTGTATTTTATTAAAATAAAATCCTGTCAAAAATACTACAATTGATAAAATTTTTTATGGGGAGTCAAGTCCCACCCATCGCTGCTTCGGCCTTGCACATAAAATGACGCATTTTTGTTTGGTTGTTGATCCGGTCGTCTAACGAAGCACCCTCCTCAGTAGATAAAAAAATCTTGACTTATTCCTGATTCTTTTTATTTCCAGATATTTTTCTCTGAAAATGTTGTTACTCATAAGCCCAATGATAATGATTACAATGTCGTGTAATCTTACTGTGTGAGTTCAAACTGAGTCATTCTGCCTCTGAAGCATTTCATTATATCAAGGCGGCCTTTGGAAATGGTAATCAGAACTGTACAGAGACATGCTGTCAACCCCTCAGCCACAGAGAACGCCCGGTTAGCAAAATTCAAATTACTACTTATAAATACACATCTTCGATGACCTTTCCCGATATATCATTTCTGCTCCGAAAAGTAACCTAACGTAAACAATGACAACGTATTAGATGAAATGGATTAAATTCGGCAACAATCGCCGAGGACGTGTGTTTATAAGCAGTAATTTGAACTTTGTTAGCAGGAAGTTCGCTGTGGCTAAATAGTTAACAGCACGCTGGACCAAAAGAGAATGCATATTTTATACGAAATTTCTCGAACATTCAGGCTGACAAATGTAATTATTACCGTTTAATTAAAAACAGAGCATTAACTCAAGTAAGTTGAATACATAAAAATAATGTATAAACAGAAAATATATTAAGATATTTGTCGGAGTTAATTCATTTCATATAATATATATATATATATATATATATATATATAATTGGCTCCTACTGCTTTTAACGCATTGCTCTTCTATGAATTGAGCTCTTCTGGTTACTGGCGTATTTCGTATAGAAAACGTGTGACGATAGCCTAGGGGTAGGATCTCTGACTGATGCCAAATCGGTCGGGTTTCGATCCCGGATTGAAACAGTCGTACGTCTAGTCACCCTGAAGAGCTGTGATACGGCGAAACATTCTGTCTGCGAATGACTATATATATATATATATATATATATATATATATATATATATATATATATATATATATATATATATATATATATATATATATATATATATATATATATATAAATAAATAATTGAAGGAAAAAGAGGTTTAGTGTCATATCGGTGAAACGCCGGTTTCCTTACTTAGATGATTGACCGCTTGCAAGTGCCAGGTGCTGTAAAGTTGGAAGTGTGCGTGATGCAGCAGTAACGAATGGGAATAGTAACGCGGAGAGCAGGGTTCAAATTCCGGCCACGTGCTTTTGTATTCACCCCACGCGCTATGAATCCACCTCTTATCATCGTAGATATAGGTTAATTAGTAGGAATTGTATCGGTGAATAATCTCCAAAAAAATTCTTTCAATATAAAATATTGTCTGGCTTTAAATGACCTTTCAAAGGTTGAAAAGCAGTAAAAAAAAAAACTAAAAACAAAAAAATCCCCTAAAAAAAAAAAAAAACCAAAAAACGAATCAGTCGATCAATCAAACAAAAAACAAGCCTAAGATTCTATAGCGTCAATTTCTATTGTGCTGTAGCATTCAAAGATGTCGGGGAGATTGTGGAATTTACCTGAATTGGAATAACAGCGAATCCTACTTATTGGAACAGATATTTTAGCTTCCAAGATGGCTGCTAGATTTAGAGACATGCGAGTAGAAGAAAGGGAAAATTGTATCAGATAGACGAAAAATTAATAAGCAGGAAATGAATATTCAACAGAAGGAAGGAATGAAGGAAGGAAAAAAAGGAAGAGATAAAAAGAAAGAAGAAAGAAACACTGACAAATGTAAATATAAGAAAAAGAAGAACATTTACAGATGGAGATTAAAACCTGTTCAAAAAAAAAGAAGACATAAAGCAAGAAATAAAAAAAGAAGGAAAACAGAGGCAGTGAAGGTAGGAAAGGAGGCAAACAATGGGAAAAAGAATAATGGACGAGAGACAAAAAGAAAGAAAGAAAGAAAGAAGGAAAGAAAGACTGAAAACAACAAAGAAAAGACGACAGATAAAAAAGGAAGAACTCGTAGGGAAGAAAGGAAGAAACAATATGGATGTAATGAAGCTACTTAAATAGAAAAAAATAGGAAGGAAGGAGAAAAGAAAGGAAAGAAAAAGAGAAAAGTTAAGGAGAAAATATAAATAATGATCTAATTAACATATTTAAAAAGAAAGAAATAAAAGAAGGAAAGGAAAAAGAAAGAAAGAAGAAAAAAGAAAGGCAAAAGGAATAACGAATGACGTCAAGTAGAAGAAAAAAGGAAGAAAGAACGGGGAAAAGAGGGTGGAAATTGAACAGGAGAGACGAATTGGCAATAATGATTTAAACAGAAAGAAAAAAAAAAGAAAGAAAGAGAAAAAGAAAGAAAGAGATAAATAAATAAATAAAGAAACAGAGAGAAACAAACAAAGAACGATAGACGCCAAAAAGAAAAAAATGGAGAAAAAAGAATGGGGAAATGGCGGAAATTGAACAGGGGAGACAATAATGATCTAATTAGCATATTTGAACAGAAAAGAAGGAAAAAAGAAAGAAAGAAAGAAAGAAGGAAAAAAGAAAAAAGAAAAGGAAAAGAAGAACGAAAGAATGGGGAGAGGATAGTGTAAATTGAACAGGAGGGATATAGTCAATAACATAAAAAGAAAGAAAGAAAGAAAGAAAGTGAGAAAGAGAGAGAGAGAGAGAGAGAGAGAAAGAAGGAAAGAGAATAAGGAAAAGAAAGAACGGAAGACAACAAGAACGAATAAAGGAAAGAATGGAGAGATGAAGGTGTAAATAGAACAGCACAAACGATTTGCCAATAATGACATAACGTATTTAAAAAGAAAGAAAGAAACTGCGGAAAGAAAGAAATAAAAAGAAAGAAACAAGAAAGAATAGGGAAAAGATGATAAAAATTGAACAGGTGGAGACGAATTGGCAATAGGTAATTAAAGAAAAATTGTAAGTAGGAAGGAAAAAAGAAAGAAACAGTAATAATAATGCAAAGCAAAAGGAAAGATCAGCAGAGAGAAAAAGAAGAAAACGAAAGAGACTGATAAAACAAATTCTGTGGATAATAAACGTTTGATTTCTTTGAGATGAAAATGGATGAAAGCAGCGCAAATCTTAAAAAAAAAAAGAAAAAAAAAAGAAAAGAAAAAAGAAAACACTTGAAGAACCAGAGAGAAATAAGGAATATTTTTGGTAATAGTCTTTAAAGAAAACAACTGCAAAATAAAAGCCCCCCCCAAAAAAAACCCCAACAAATCAGCCGACGCTAACCGCTTATTTTGTCTCGTGCGTGTACACTGCACATCTTAATGAACCTCCATATTGCACCTGTGGTCGCTGGCCAAAGCGGTGCAGAAAACAAAATGGCGGAAAAAATGCGCCAATTTTTAAAGCTTTTTTCTTTTTCTTTTTTCGCGGCGCCTAACACGTTAATCACCGTTTCCCGCCCTTTTCGCTTGACTCCGGAAGCGAATCACTCGGCTCCGACTTAACAACTGCTATCGGCTCTAAAGGCAACATTATTGTGGCAAATTATCGCTGTGGGCGCAACACATCGGCATGGCGTTCAAGAGACAAGCACAATTTGCAATGATTAGAGGGAGATATATATTTGATGAAAGGGCCGAGCCAAAAATACCGCCTATCCCATAATCTTCAAATGTCTTAATTTTTATTTTTAGTTCATGCAATAAAATTTTAAAACAAAGTCTATCGCTTTTGATGTTTTGTTTCTTCTTCTTTGGTTGATTTTCGGTTCCTGTTTTTATTTTTTTTCTATTTATGGGATAAAATTTTTATTCGTTCCTGGAAAGCGTTCGTTCGTTTCCGAAATTGAAATAGTGAAAGAACAGAAATATACAAAGAGAACTCAATGCAAATAAAAATGATAGGTTAAAAGAGAAATTGAAAAAAAAATCTATAAGTTGATTTGAAATCTCCGGGTTCCTGTTCCTTCATTTAAAAAAAAAAAAAAAAGAAAAAGAAAAAGACACTTCAATCTTTCATTCATTTAATTTTTTTCCTTTCTTTTGAGATCATTCTTTATTTGAAACGTTTTTAATTATCTGCTGGTCTTTCCTAAAACTGAATTTATCGCCATGTTTTTTTTTAGTGTGACTTTTCGTCTTCGTTGTTTCCTTTGTTCTTTCCTTCTTTTTCGAAGTTGATTTCTTTCTTTTTTTCTTTCTTTCTTTCTTTCTTTCTTTCTTTCTTTGATGTTATTTTATTACTGTATTCCTTCCTTCAATCACATTTTTTATTTTTACATTTTGCAAAAATTCAGATGATGATTTTTCTTTTTTCTTCCGATGATTTCTTTCTTTCTTTCTTTCTTTCTTTCTTTCTTTCTTTCTTTCTTTCTTTCTTCCTTTATTCTTGCTCATGGTTCTTCCCTTTATTCTTTCTTTCTTTCTTTCTTTCTTTCTTTCTTTCTTTCTTTCTTTCTTAGATCCATATAAATTGTCTGACGTTCTTTCTTTCTTTCTTTCTTTCTTTCTTTCTTTCTTTCTTTCTTTCTTTCTTTTTCTTTCTTTCTTTCTACCACACTTTATTACTTATTGATTTCTCTTCCCTTTATTCTTTCTTGTTTCTTACTTTACTTTTCTTCTCTTTCTTCCTTTCTTTCTTTCCTTCTTTCTTGCCCATTCTTCTTCACGATATTCTTTCTTTCTTTCTTTCTTTCTTTCTTTCTTTCTTTTGCGATACTGCTCGTTTTTCTTCTCTTTAATTTTTCAGGCCATTTCTTTCTTTCTTTCTTTCTTTCTTTCTTTCTTGCTTACTTGCTTTCTTTACTTCTTTCTTTACTTCTTGCTCATTGTTCTTCCCGTCTTTCTTTCTTTCTTTCTTTCTTTCTTCTTACCCTATTTTATTACTTACTGATTTCTCTTCTCTTTATTCTTTCTTACTTTACTTTTCTTCTCTTTTTTCCTTCCTTTCTTTCCTTCTTTCTTGCTCATTGTTCTTCCCGTCTTTCTTTCTTTCTTTCTTTCTTTCTTGTTGATTTCCCACCCTTTATTCTTAATTTTTTTCGTTCACCGAATTGTTCAGTGATTATCTTTCAGCTTCCTTATTCAATTATTGTCATACTCTACGCCGTCATATATTCCCTTGTTAAAGCCAAGAGATTCCCAACACCGAGAAGACTAAAACCAAAGCAAATAAACCTACAAAACCCACAAGAATCCACGAGTGTGTATTTAACTACAAAAGAAAACAATAGGACGCTTGGAAAATACATTGGCACGCACATTATACCCTTTTAATACAAAATGTTATACATACAAGAGCATCTATCTATCTATCTATCTATCTATCTATCTATCTAATTAGCAAGAATTCGTGCTTTTGTCTGGCATAAAAATTTCACATATAACAATCTAAGAAAAATAATTACTTTAATATTTTTCGTCCTACAATATAACAATTGAAAAAAATATACATGAAGATGTAGGTCTTTTCAATATTCGTCAAATGCAAGGCCAGAGAGTAAATCAAGGTAGAGAAAGGCTTACTGAATGAGTTACTAGCAAAAAAATATTCTGATTCGCAAAACAAAACTAAAAATGTAATCCTTTATTTTGATAAGGATCCTGGTCACACAGCACCATTTTTCATTTCATAATAGTCTCATTTACAGAATGCATAGGGTGACACAGAAAGGCAAACTACTGGTCAGATAACCTGTACTGAGTGGAGGTGGTTTAAACCATGTGGGCGTGGAATTGCCTTTTTTTCCTCCCAAGTGTTGATATAACACTAAAAGGGCGCAAAGATACAGAGATGGATGCAGGAATTAGAACGGGTCAGTATATCTCACCGCACCCAGATTCATGAGGGAGGCGATGAGATTTTGCCGAGTATGTGTCCGCTTAATTCTTCACTTCCTCTCGCTTCTTCATGGCTACGACGACTGTTCCTCATAAAATAATGTTAAATAAAAAAAAAAAACAAAACTGCCCGTCTTAAATGCCGGCTACGACGTAGCATTGGAATCCAAACCGGAAACGACAGGAAAAGCAAACCACTCTTTCCGATGTCGTGCTATCAATGTTGATATTCTAATATTCTAAATATCTAGGAAGTGTTTTAAAAGAGGTAGTGCAACGTGGCACCGAAATCCGAAGTCGAATTGTAAGTAAATTATAAAGTAAAAGGAAAATTTCGTTAGAAACAAACAAAAAGAGCATCGAACTGTCATCGAAATGTTGGTCCTCCTAAGATGAAGTCTTGAGACAAAAGAGTTGCAGGAGATTCCGAAGTCGTCCTGAGACTGGGATTGAAACCAATGTCGATTTTATTGATTAAATTTACTCTTTAGTATTTCAAGATATTTTTGTGTAGTTTTGGTAAATATGGCTGTTAAAATGAGATGTCAGTGTTATTTTCATTTTTGCGTCATTTAGACGACAATTCATCCATCGCACCCTGTATATCTGTTCAAATGAGATGTCAGTGTTATTTTCATTTTGGCGCCATTTAGACGACAGTTTATCCATCGCACCCTGCTTATATGTTAAAATGAGTATTATTTTTCTTTTTGCGTCATTTAGACGACAATTTATCCATCGCACTCTCTAGATCTATATAGGGGTGTTCATAATGTCTCTGTATAATTTAAAACATATATTACAAAGGCAATTGATGTGGCACCACACCTAGATGATCTTGGGGACTGTATACTCCTGAGTTCCTAAATCAAACATTTTCAACCCGGAGGATTGGAAGGGATGGCCCAATTCTCTGACCACCAGATATCACGCCCCTGGACTTCTTTCTATTGGGTTATTTGAAAGATATCATATATCGAACAATGATACGGGACATCACTGATCTAAAACAAAAGATCACTGATGCCATTGCAACCATTGATGAGCCGATGCTACAGCAAACATGACAAGAAATCGAACACCGTCTTTATGTACTTCTTGCAACTAATGCCGACCATATAAAGGTGCATTAGATTAGCTAAAAAAGCTTCAATATCTACTCCTCGTTTTGAAACAATTTCCCCGTATTTGTCTGTTTATTTGTTTTTGTAACACACACACACACACACACACACATATATATATATATATATATATTTATGGGTGCCTTTAACTACTTACATGGTACAAAAATAGGTCGTATGTATTTAAGTGAATAAGCATTGATTTTCTTTATGGACACCCTGTATATATGTCTCTATCTATAAAGGCAGGATGTGTGTGTGTGTGTGTCTGTGTAACGAATGCACGGCTGCAATTTTCGACGGATTTGCACCAAAATTGACATGCACATGCTCCAAGATAACGGGAAGGCCAAGACCGATAATGGAAATAATCAATTTTTTTCATGCTTCTACGGCAGTTTTCGTGTAGTTTGCGGCCATTTTCTACTGGCTAGAGTGAGAGCCTATAGCTAGCTGCCACGAATAGACAGGAAGATTCTATTGGCCAGCGTGAGAGCCAACAGCTGTCTGGCACGAATGTTAACTAGCATGCTAGCATGCAAAAAAATCGATAGCTGCATTCGTCACAAGTGGGAAAAATTTAAATCTGCATGGCACTTTACTCCAATTGGCTCATTCGCTTGCTTAAACTCAACATTGATTCTGATTCCGCAGAACTGGGTTGGGTGTGAAAAAGTATTTGTTGTTAACATTCTTTTTTCATTCGGTTTTTCCAGTTACGAGTCCTTTTTTTAAAGCTGATCGTTTTGTGTTCATTTTGTTTAGTTCTTTTTTTGTAACAGATTTAATGTTTAGTATAGAGCTTAGAAAAAATTCGCAGTGTGAGATAGGCAAGAAGTAAAGCATTTGACAACATCAGCACGGCAAAGGGCACTCCTTTAAAGGCAAGGAAGGGCAAAAATATTTTAAGTCAAGTGATAGCGGTTGCTGTATGAGTCGTACGATTTTTGAATCAAGCACGGGCAACGCCGGGCCATGCTGCTAGTATTCATATATTTATGTCTGCCGTTAACCACTTACATGGTAGGAGAATAGGTCTTATGTATTTAAGTGGATAAGCATTGATTTTGTTCGGGAATAGGTTAATATTAGTCGTTTACATTGGAGCCTACATGAATTTTATTGGTTTGGGAATAAGTAAATATTGGCCGGTTAGATTTAAGTCTAAAGGCATTTACTTGGTTTGGGAATAGAAAAATATTGGCCAGTTACATGTGAGTTCACAAGCAGTTACTTGGATCGGAGACAAAGTAAATATTGGTCAGTTATATTTGAGTATACAAGCATTTACTTGCTTTGGGAATAGGTAAATATTAGGCGGTTATATCTGAGTCTGCACACATTTACTTGATTTCGGAATAGGCAAATACTGGTTGATTATATTTGAGTCTACAAGCATTTAATTGTTTTGGGAATTGGAAGGTATTGGTTGGTTATATTTGAGTCTACAAGCATTTTATTTTATTTAGGGTTAGGTAAATATTTCTCGTTATTATTTGAATATGTAAGCATTTACGAATAGTTAAATGTAAATATTTCGCGTTTAACTTTGAATTTCTAAGCATTTCCTGGGTTATAGGTGATTATTGGTTGGTTTTATTTCAGTCTTTATTGTTTGGGGAATTCGCACATATCGATTGTTTATATCTGCGATGAACAGGGTTTAATTGGTAGGCCTGCCACATAACACCAACTACACAGCCCAACTTTCTTGCTTCTTTTGTTTTCATACGGCGTACATGGCTCATTAACCTTGGTAGAACACCGAGACTATAAGAAATATAAATTTATTTTTAAAACAAGTTTGAAATCGGATGGGTTCCGTCAGGTTATATTGACTAAAACATACTCAGTGCCGCCACGAGCGAAGTGTATGAATTGATTCAACTTGTGTATATCGTCCATGACAGTTTCACAGACACTTCAGTTCTATCATTCTATCGCTCTCTTTCTTTCTTTCTTTCTTTCTTTGTATCTATCTCAGTCTGTTAATATTTATCTACAAACCACTCTTTCTTTTATTCTTTGTTATCTATCTATCTATCTATCTATCTATCTATCTATCTATCTATCTATCTTAAGAGACTGAGATAGATATGAATAGAAAGAATAGATAAGTAGATAGATATGAACAGAATGAGATAGATAAACTGATAGGAAATGAATAGTCTGTGATAGATATGAATAAACTGAGATATATAGATAGATTGATAGATAGATAGATAGATAGATAGATAGATAGATAGATAGATATAAACAGTCTGAGATAGATATATAGAAAGGTATGAGCAGAATGAGATAGTTTGATAAATATTGAATGTTCTGTGAAAGATAGATTGATAGATAGACAATGAACAGGGATACATAGATAGATCGATAGATAGATAAATAGATATAAACAGACTGAGATAGATAGATAGATAGATAGATAGATAGATAGATATGAACAGAATGAGATAGATAGACAGATAGAATAAGATAGATAGATATAAACAGAGAGAATAAGATAGATAGATAGATATAAACAGAATAAGATAGATATATAGAAAGATATGAACAGAATGAGAGAGATTGATAGATATTGAATGTTCTGTGAAAGATAGATTGATAGACAATGAACAGGGATAGATAGATAGATCGATAGATAGATAAATAGATATAAACAGACTGCGATAGATAGATAGATAGATATGAACAAAATGAGACAGACAGATACATAGATAGAAAGAAACAGACTGAGATAGACAGACAGATATGAAGAGACTGAGATAGATATAAACAGAATAAGTTAGATGAACCGATAGATAATTAATAGCGTGATAGATAGATAAAGAACAGACTGTGATAGATAAATATATAGATATGAACAAAATGAGACAGACTGATAGATAATGAATAGAGAGATAGATATGAACAGAATGAGATAGGCAGAAAGATAGACAGAAAGATAGATATATAGATGGACAGACAGATGGATAAATAGATAGATATGAACAGAATAAGATAGAAAGATAGACTAATAGAAAATGCATAGTGATAGATTGATAGAGAGATAGGAACAGACTGAAAAAAATAGATATATAGATATTAACAGAATGAGATAGATATGTATAGAATGAGATAAACTGATGGAAAGTGAACAGTCTGTGATAGATAAATAGATAGATATTTCCACGTACGAGGGTCGGCTCAAAAGTTCATTGGCCGATTATGAAGGAGTGATGCCAGAACTGTGAAATATTGCATCTTACAAATGACTCTCCACAGAAGACTGTTCCTCTTCGTAAAAATGTCAAAGACAGAAAAATTGTGCTTAGTATAGAGAAAGACAAATCGAGAGATATAGATGGTAAGAAAAGTGTACAAGGGAGGACTGAAAAGTTCATAGGCTCACTACAAAGAAATGGTGCCATGTTAAATAATAGTTTATTAGACTATCATTTTTAGGGGGAATCCTTTCTCAGATCCGACTTCTAGAGGTTGACCTTTGGCGTCATATGAAAGACATAATAAGGAAGTCAATTTGGATTGCAGATTTTGTTCATCTCCATTGAAGAGTAGTTTTTTTGACCGTCAAGCGATGTAGACATATTCTCTTTCGTGCCTGAAACGGCTCCCCAGTGAGAGGGAACGACCCCCCCACTGAATAGTTAGTACATATCGACATTAAGAAAAAAGTTAAGTCAAAATTCTCTGCTGGAGTATTTCATGGCTGAACCGAAACTATTGACAATCGCCGGTCAAGAGATAAACTTAGATAATTCATCGCTGTCAAAATGCAACATTATCGACAGGTCTATCCAAAGAGAATTTGTTGTGTACGTTGGCTTGGGAGAGTAGTGATTCATAAGGACGAAGGTGGGCTGAAACATTCATGGACTGAATATGAAGGAGTAATACTAGAGCTGTGAAATCTAGCATCACTCCTTCATAGTCAGCCTATGAACATTTCAGCCCTCCCTCATACCTGGGAATAAAAAATGCAGTTATGAATAAGAATAATTGAAATCAATGCTGGCAAGATTTCACAGTTCTAACGTCACTCCTTCATATTCAGCCTATGAACATTTCAGCCCAACCTCATACCTAGGAATCACTATTCTCTCAAGCCGACGTGCACAACAAATATATCAAGAAATAAAAAGAAAACGGTTGAATCTGTCAACACAACAATATAAACAATATTTCTACTCATGAAAATATTCTTTTCAAACATAAAGTAATTGACGTAATTAATATGGAATAGCGTTTCTAAATACTTTTAGTTGCTAACGGTATTTTGTTTCTTGTTTATATATACATTGTTTCAATAAATTCATTTTGTTATTTTGCCTTGAAGAAGTCCACATTGGATGAAACACCTCGGCTAAAAATACAGTTTTCCTATTGTTTTTTTCCTTTACACACACACACACACACACACACACACACACACACACACACACACACACACACACATATATATATATATATATTTTGAACAATAAAAAATATTAAAGAATTAAAATCTTCAGACACACTGGGTTGTAGATAAATATTCTTTCGTTTTTTTTTTATTATTATTTCATTTAGATTCCTCGACTAGTTTCGGCCGAAATGGCCATCATCGGGAGAAGAAATATTTCTGCTTGCTGGTAGCAGTAAACTACAGAAATGAATGTCTTGATGGAGAAAATGAACTTTTGTCTGTAGTTTTCATTTGTTTTTTTTATTTTTTTTATCTTTTTAACATGAATCTTTTAATATTCCTTGTGTTGGTCAAACAATCTCTTTTAAGTTGTTATTTGAGATAAAGAGCTGGATGGATCTATGCTGTTCTGAATTCCCCTGGTCAGTTTGACGGTTTATTGATATATATATATATATATATATATATATATATATATGTCCAAGTATAGGATTGGTGTATACGGAATAAATTCCAATAACCAACAACTTCTTAAAAAGTGCTCAATAGAGAGTAGAGCAAATATAATCATTTATTAGAAAATTATAACATAAAAATGTTATAAAATCACTACAAAAACAGCCATTTTGTTTCAACACTTCTTAAAACAATGTAGATGGCCTCAAATATTTTAAAGTTCTTTTTAACTTGTGTATGGGTGAATATTGTTGTGTTATCAGCTAATATCCGTCTAATATTTTGTACATTGCTATGTTTTTCTAAGAAATATTGTTTAATGAAACTAAGATCAGAAAAGTGGAAAGTAAGTCTACAGAAAAGCGTGGTTGTAGTAAAATAACAATATATATTTGAATAATGATCTGTTGCCCTAATATACATTCTCTCTCTCTCTCTCTCTCTCTATATATATATATATATATATATATATATATATATATAAAGAACGCCAGCTGGATGTTTTCCATAAAAGCTATCTGCGTGCAATCTGTGGAGTTAAGCTTCAATATAGGATATCTAACGTAGACCTGTTTAATATGTGTAATATTGGAGGAATCGAGACTTTTATCATACAGACTCAATTACGGTGGACTGGTCATGTCTTGAGAATGTCTGATGACAGGATACCTAAGATCCTAATGTACAGCCAGTTAGGTCAGGGCTACAGGAATATAGGACGCCCATGGCTAAGATACAAAGACAAGCTGAAAAGCAACTTGTCAGCTGTCAATATACCACATAACATCCTTGAGCGTTTAGTCTTGGAGCGGGTAGAATGAAGATCAACGTGTTTTAGTGGACTCAGCAATTTTCAATCTGCTTGTCTGAATCATCTTCAAGAAGCGAGAGCAAGATCTAAAAGGTCAACCAATCTAACAGTGATCTCATCTCACAATCTTCACACTTGCTCCATATGTGGCCTCCTTTGTAAATCACTAGCGGGTCTTAAATGCCACTTAAGATTAGCGCATAAACTTTCATAACTGAATCAATAAGTTGGCAGATCCTCATACGTCGAAACCAACGGGAGAGTCCATTATTATATATATATATATATATATATATATAAATAAATTATATACAACATTTCTTGCACACTATATGTTCAAAAACAAAATTTCTTTTACGCCATAGTGTACATATATATACATATATATATTGTCTGTATTTAGGCAGTATTTTTCAATGTAGTAGTATATATATATATATATATATATATATATATATATATATATATATATGGATGTTTCATTAAATAATGTAAACAAGTGTTGTCTATTTATTTTATGTAAATTCTTTTCACATCGTCAGAATGTTATTAATCTTATCAGATGATATGAAAAGAATTTACATAAAATAAATAGACAACACTTGTTTATATTATGTAAAGAAAACATCCATATATATATATATATATATATATATATATATATATATATATATATATATATAATATATTTACAACCATGTATGTTCAAAAAACAAAATGTCTTGTACGCATGCAAGTAAAGTATAATAAAAAGCATAATCGCAATGCCTTGTCAGTGAAGAATTAGAGCGAGCTAATCAATCAAACCTATATATATATATATATATATATATATATATATATTGATTCGTATTAATTTATATGTTTAAAGCGATATGCTTGTTCAATCAAAGACGTGTACCCACTAAAATTTGTCTCGCTTGGCACTTTGTGATTTTTTTTTCTATGGGGCTATTTGAAAGGACATGTCTATATCCCTCCCCTTCCTACAAGCTTAGAATAACTTAAGCATAAAATCAATGAGGTGCAGGAGAGTGTTACATTAGACGTGTTACAGCGTGTTTGGCAGGGGCTGGACTACGCTTCTGACGTGTGTTGTGTTACAAGTGGTGCAGACATTGAACATCTGTGAAGCTTTGTGAAATCGGTTATAAAATCTACAGACTTTTGAATGTCTTGTTCGAGTTTTGATCAATAAATCTTTTCTTGTTCAATATGAAGCTTTTTTTAATTTCATCTGCCTACGACATTTAGTTACTCAGATATTAACATTTTCAACTGTCTCAATTTTCTAGGGGGCCACCATCTATCTATCTATCTATCTATCTATCTATCTATCTATCTATCTATCTATCATCATTACACTAAGGCAAGTAGATGTTATTGAGTGATAGAGCATATAAGGAAAACTACTATTAATCAGAGTAGACAATAAAATAACAAGGATTAAGAAAACAGAAGATAACGATTGACATTGCATTTAAATTTCTCCTCAAGTCACTAAGACGCAAAGTGGTTACTGAGTGTTAGAAAATATAAGAAAACTACTATTAAGGAGAGAGGATAATAAAAGAACAAAAATTAAGAAGACAGAAGATAACGATTCACATTGCATTTAAATTTCGGAAAATCAAAGTTGAGACTCGAAACTATATATATATATATATGTATATATGCATATTTCATTGAATACGACAGGCAAGGTGCCTTTATTTTGTTTTTTTATACAATTTCTTATGCGATCTTATAATTTTTTCTTTACGGATGATAAATTATATAAAAACTGTCGAAAGTTCTTTTCATCCGAGCGCTTTCGGCTATACATTTAGCCATTTTCAATGATTAAATATTTTAACTGTTATATATGCTACACTACAACATGTTTGACAGGAAGACTCACTCTATACCTTTCTGACCATAGCTCAATTAGATCTCATTTAAATATTCATGGAGACCTACCGGGCACTATTCGTAACATACTTGTTGACAACACTAATGTAATAGCATCATTTACATGCAAAAAAATAATGGAAGCCTTATTAATAAAAAAACAAAAAACAAACAACACTTAATAATATTAACTTTGAACATGAACACAATATCTTGACCGCGTTTTGAAAAATGAAAACATTTTATAAAGCATATACAACAAACTATTTCTTATTTAACCGTTAAAATATTTAATCGTTGTCTGTCGTATTCAATCAAATGTGCATGAAAGAAGGATTGCTGCCTAAATACACACACTCACACATATATATATATATGTAAATAGTTTCTTATGATGAAGTATATCTGTTATATCTGTAGAAGAGACAAAATGAAGGAAAAAGACAATGGATAGAAAAGCTGACGCG